TGAGCAGCACCTCTCACGGCCAGAATGGTTATTGGTGACGGTGCCGATCATGGTGATGGGGCCGGTGATGGTGGTAATGGTGACTGTTGTGATGGTGGTGGTGGCTGGTGGTGGAGATGATGGTGATCGCCATAACAGTGGTGGTGGTGTAATAGAGGTGGGGATAGTGGTGGTGGTGGCAGTAGTGGTGGTGGGGACAGCAGTGGAGACAGTGGTGGCGGAGGCGACAGATAGGAAGGACTGGGTTTGCCAACAATCCTGAGCTCCATCCCCGTTCCCCCTAGCCTCAATTCCCTGGATGACAACTCTGTGGACCTGGACGGGAACAATCAGAAAATCAAGGCAAGATCTGGGATGAGCTGGTACCTGGGGCTTCTGACTTGGGAGTCTTCTTTGAAGGGGTGGTTTCAGGAAAGGGGTGGGCAGAACCTGCTGCTGGCCTGGGCAGTCTAACTCCTCTGCACCAGGCCTTGGGAAGCCCCATGGCTTTGGAATGAGATCCAATCCCTGTCGTCATGTGACCCTGGATAGATGACTTCCTGGCTCCGGTTCTCACTTTCCTCATCTGTAAACGGGGAGCAAAACATCAACTGTCGTGAGGATTAAATAAGAGCAGCCATAAAAAAATACCTGGTCCTAAAACAAGTGCTCGGAAGTCTAGTTCCATCCTGTTCTAGCCTTCACATGAAAGCTGATGGGGTGAGGAAGGATGTGGAGATGAATAAACATGGTCTAACCAAGGAGAGGGAGGCCCAATACGCGGCAGCGTCATCACTTGTTAAGTGGATTAGTTGGTTAAGCGTTTACAGCCTGGGTTTGCGGGGAGCTTTAAAATTAGGGGTGCCAGGTCTCAAGGAGAGATCCTGATTTTGGTGGCCCAGGGTGGAGCCTGGGCATGGGTGTGTGTCAAAGCTTCCCCAGGGGATTCTAATGTACAGGCAGGATTGTGAACCCTGGGAGCCAGTCAGTAGGCTGGGGAGGAGGATCCAGAAACGAAAAGAACTACTTCGTCTCTTCCCCCGGAACAGAAATTCTCCTATTTGAGTTGTAATGGTGTGAGGTTGTGGATGTGGGTAGAGGTGTCCACTCACCATCTGCCCACGGCCAGGCCCCCTGAGATCCTGAGCTCAGCCTGGTTTCTGTCTGTAAGAGCGCCAGCCTGCCCTCACTCCTCAGTCCCCGTGTTCCCTTGAGGACTCCTTGCTTGGAAACACTTGGTTAACCAAAGTGTCTTTTGGACTTTAAAATGCCAGAATGCTGCACAGGGATCCAGGCATGTCACTCACAGTGCTGAGAATCTGGCATACAGGCAATCAGATAGGTCCCTGAGGTGGGGGCATTGATTGGCCATCCAGGCAACCTCTGGGCATAGCTCATCTCTGAAGACAGTTTGAGGCAAAAACTCCAGTGAACATATCGGAGGGGACGAGAAACAAGGGAATGATCTTGCCTATTGGTGTTAGGCACCCATCTCTCCCCCAGAGGAGGCCAAGGCTGACCCCTGGAGGAGAGTGGAGTCAGGGGACCAGGAGGCGGGGCTGGGCCTATGGGAGAGTCTAGAGCAGGGAGGGGACAAGTTCACAGAGACTTTGAAGCAAAAGAGCTACAGGGAAGGCAGGAGCTTGCTAAGTTTCTGAGAAGCTGCCCAAGGCCTCATTCCCTGCCCTGAGGAATGGATGGTCTTGGGGGTCTCTGGCAGACCCAGGAGGCCACAGAGGCTTCTTAGGAGCCATTGTTCCTTCGCTTCCTTGGCTGGGTGGGGATTCAGGCGGGGGTCTTTTCCATCAATCTTGTGACTGATGCACGACTTTCCCAAGAACTCCAAAAATGGGCAGATAGACAGGGTGTGTGACCTGAGAAGTCGTGTATCCTGTCTTTCCAGGTTACCAATACGGAAACTGCCATTCAGAGGGGGCTGCTGACTCTCTCAAGGTCAGACAGCTTGCAGGGTAGGAGCACACTAGAACTCAGGTCTCTGATCTAAGGGGATAGGTGACATTATCCTGGGTGGCACTGCTCCTCTGCTCAGGGTCTGTGGAACATCGGCAGAATGCTTAGCCCCTCTGGGGCCCCACAGATGTTCCACTGTTCACTAGAGACTGGAGCAGTTCCTAATTTGGGAAAAGCCCTTGGAGGGTCCTGGGTAGGGTAGAGATGGCAGCAGAGGATTGAGCCTGGGGACCTGGTCCTCCCACAGTAGGGTGTATGTGTGAAGAGGCACATGTGACTGGCTGGATGCACAAGTGTGCACTGTGTCACATAGGGAGGGGAAAGAGGAAGGGCAGGAGTGGAGTGTGTGTGCCATGATGAACTACAGGTGGGACCTGGGTATGATATGTCCCGGAGGGTGGCAGGAGATGCTTGATTCATCCAAGGACATGCTTTAGATCTAGAAAGACCAATGATCCAAAGCTTTCTCTGTCACTTCCTGCCCAGGAGGGTCTGCTGAGCTTCAGTTCCCACATCATAATATGGGGGATATAAACCCTCCCTCAAGGGGTTTTCGTGGGCATTTCAGGTAGTGGGTGAACTTTGCTCAACATGGTGTCTGTTGTGGGGTGCAGGTGGCAGGAACCGAGATGGATTGACTCCTCGGCACAGGATGCATTTTTCAGGATTGAACATTTTTTAGGACTGGACATTTTTCAGGACTGCGCAGAACCCCAGAATGCTGCTCTGTTGGTGGGGCAAAGGGCAGAAAAGAACTCACCCTGGCCCACCACCCGCTCCAGCCCACTTGCATGTACCACCCCTGGTCGCGGCCAACTCTGAAACATACCTAGGAGATTGAGGCCCCAAGATGAGTTGGGGGTTTCCAGCCTCATTCTGTCCCAAACACACAAATGAAATCCCCCTTTTGTTTTTAGCTCTCTCAGAAATAAAGGGATCTCCACTAAACACAGAGGTTATGCCAATAAAAAGGTATTTTACAAAGATTAGATGACATTAGATATCTTAACTACATCTTGTGGGGGCATCCTCAGCTGAGAAGCCATGTGGTCATGGGCATGAAGGCCCATGTTCCTCCCGAGGGTCTGTGATCACTCTGTCATCTCACCTTCCCTTCCTCTTCCCTCAGAAGGAGCCTCAGCACAATCCACCGGAGAAGGATCCAGAGCCCCTGAGTGTGGTGCTGTCAGGAAGGCAGGTGGACACAAGTGGAGAGCAACAGGGAATGTCCTTCACCAACCCCGGCCTGGACACCACAGACCTGTGATGGAGGCCCTACTCCCCTGGCCCTCTTGGGAACAGGCCCCATGACAGCCTAACAACATCTCCCCCCACCCTGGATATAATAATATATGTTGTTGCTTTGCCTCTTATTTCAGTCAATCACAGCAGACAAGGATTGGGGAGAGATTTTATTACCAACGTATACTGTGACAGTTTGTAGCCAAAAACTGAGGCTGGAGGGGTGGGGATGAGGGCACTGAGTGGTCACAAGGGACTTGTGGGGGCTCACAGCACAGGGGGGACAAGGGACTGAAGAGGGTGGCCTTTAAAGGTGAACTGTGGTTATAGAATGAACTCTTCACCCTGTCCCCAATACCCAAGAACAGCTACCACCTAGGCAGCTGTGGCCCAAGACCTTTCATGAGCCTGACTGTGACCTTCTGTCCTGTTTGAGACCCTCTCACTTTTCTGCAACTCTCCCTCTCATCTGAATCCCCAGTGCCCTTCCTGGCCTTTGGCCTCTCTGGGAATTGTGAACCAGTGACCTGGTGGGAAAGGAGCTAAAGGTTGGGGGACGGGGGAGACTGGAGATGGGGAGGGACCACCAACAGCATGCAAGAGATGCCCCAGCCTTGGGGGTCAGCACATGCCCACTCGTTCAGAAACCTCCAGGGTCTCACATTCAGAGCCCAGCACGCTTAGGGGTGGGGGTCTCACACACCGATCCTTGCACACAGGGAGGGCCACTTACAAGATTTGCATGCAGTCTTTCCCAGTTCTGGGAATCTGGTCCCACTGGAGACCTCAACATACCTAATCTGGCCATCTCAGGAGCTTGCCTTAGCTCTCAGGGGGCCGGAGGTATGGGTGCTGAGCAGGTCCCCTTGCTAGCCCAGTGTGATCGGGAGGGAACGCAGCTGAGGGCACGATGGGAGGCAGGGATGGGTTTGTGGTCTCAAGGCCACGAGGGAACTAAGTAAAGGGGTTTCATTTGTGTGTTTGGGACAGAATGGGGCTGGAAAGAAGGGGATGAGAAGCCCCTAGAGGCTGCCCACCCCTCAGAGGGCTGTCGCACGCCGAGAGGACACCTTCTAGGGGTCTGGGGTCAAGAAAGTAGCCTGAGAAGGTTGAAAACCCGGGCGTACAAAACAGGGGCAGCTCACTCGGCCGTGGGTCCTGCCCGCGAGCAGCACCGCGGCCGGCGCACACTCTGTAGCAGCGCGCGGAAGAGGCCAGGCGGGCGTTTGGCGGCGCC